CTACTAAAAGATGTAATTTGTATTAGATTTTTGTTTGTACCTCCACCTTTTGCACATCCATGACTCTTCCTAGCTTTGAATGAATTCAGAGTCACAGTAGACTTTGGAAGGGAGGCTAAATGCAGTATTTTCTTTCTTTCCTTAAGAAGAACTGAAGGAGAAGGGCCCTCTCATGTCAGAGCTTTCACTGCCCAGAAACAGTTCAAAAAAAAAAATGTTCCCACCTCAACTTCCCAAGGGTTCTGATGCACTAAAGCTCTGCAATAGCTGCACTGTCTGGAAACAAAGATAGTTTTTCCTTCTCAGGCATTATAGGGACAGGTGTTGAGCTATGGAACAATAAAGCAGTCAGTGTCTACAGGGATGGGAGGAAATAGAGAATAGGTGTTGGTAATCTGCATTAAATGGTATTAAAATTACTCCTGGGAGATGAGGAAGGGATATTAATGGAACATTTTTTATTTGTACAAAAAAAAACCGTTTTTTTTTTTTTTATTGTGCTCTGGTTCTCACTTAATATGCATAAAACATTATACAGCTTATGCATCCATACACGTGGGAAATGTATAGGAAATGTCACTTGTGAAATGTGATTGATGTTTGTTCTGCATACACAAATGAGGAGTGTCTATTACATATGAGTCTCACAGGTGTTACTAAAGTTTTATTGTTAAATGTTAAAAAGCTGGTAGAACATATGTAGTGAATAGCATTTGAGGTTTTCCCTCCATATTATTGATTACTGGCTGTTCCTTTACCTAATGTTTTATATACACATTTTGGAAGAAGAGATAATATATAAGGCCAGTAAAACAATCAGTACTAGGAAGACTATATTGTTTTGTCCAATTATAAAATTTTTAAAGAAAAACAGGGATGAACTAGGCCCATTTGCACACCGAAGTTAATTTCAGTTCCTCTGAGTTTAAAATCAAACTGGCCTTTCTGCTTTCTTCATTTATCTTGTGCAGATTGTTTGCAAATACAAACAGTAAAACCAAGATCACAGCCAGTCTTCGTCAGTTGTCATGGCTATATGCTGACCTGTGGAAATCCCTGCAATTATCTTAAAAGACAAGCAAACTATAAAAAATTAGAATATTGTAGGCAAAAGTCATACAGCTGCTTACTGTTAACTTTGTCCATTTCCTGTATATTCTTTTGTTTTCCATTGGTTTTAACTTAGGCAGCCTCAAACCTGTGAGGCTGAAATCTTTCACATCACTCATCTAATGAGAACCTCTATCACAGAAATTGGATAGGTTGATTTTCAGCACAAGAGTAAGACAAAACATGTCAGTACTCAAGACAAAAGAAATAACATAAAACAAAGCATAACAGAAATAAACAGAGAGCTTACAGAAATAGGAAAAAGGACTGAGCAGCAAAGAAAGCTGTGTCTTTATGGTCAGGAAGTGAGTTTTACCCTGCCAAGGTAAAACTGCATTAGACCTTGTGAAATAAATTAAAACAAATAGCAAAACTTTTTACCCTTATAAATAAAAGTGGAAAAAGTGAAGAGACAAGACCACTGTCAGTAGTGTACACTCCCTCATTATACCTTTTTCTTCGTTTTTTCCATTCTTTTTTAATATTTAGCAGCATTAACTAGTTCTTTGCCAATGAAACTTTGTCATTGCAACTGCAGACCCTACTGTGTGCATCACTTGCCTTCTGCTGGGGAGAGCTTACCTATTTCACACAGAGCAAACCAGCCCCGAAGGGCAGCCTTATCCAGCTCACACTCTTCCCACTGTGGATGCAGGCAGGGTTTGCCAGCAACAGGGGACACAGCAAAGACCCGTATAGCCACTGCACCAGGGAGAGGCCCAGTATTAGACCTCCCAAGTAGCAGATGGGGTCTCCCCAGTTCCTGGGTATCTGCTCCACCGTTGAATCCCCATGGACTGCAGAGGACTTCCTTTGTCTTCTACTCCATGTGGCTGAACTGGGTGTGGGTCTCTGTCTTTTCCTCTGACAATGAAGCTCCCTCTCTGTCTGTCTGTCCTTTGTTTAGGCTGATAGTCTTTTGTTAGGTCAATGGCCTCTTCTCCAAGTACCACACCTTCTTCTTTTCAGGACGACCTACACCTCACCAATATGGATTCACAGAGGCGTTTCTCTAGTGCCCATTGGCTCAGCCTGGGCTGGGGGGTCTGCGCCTTGGAGCCAGGGGTGCTTTTTGCTCTCACAAGGTGGCCCTTCCCCCACTACCAAAAAAACTGCCGCCCTCCCCCGCCCACCCCAAACCCAACACAAAATGGCATGGAGATGACAAGGAATAAATATCAGCTGATAGAATTATTGCTTAGTCTTAGAACAGTCTTCCATCTTTTAGTATTTTAAATTTGTACTCTTCCTATTTTTATACCATTCCTTTAGAAGAGTGTTTGTGTGAATGTTCATATATATGTATGTATGTTTGTTTATGTAGTACATTTCTTTCACAAGGGCTTTTGTATACCCGTGTCCCAATCCGATGTCGGGATCATTTAAATATCCCGATCCAATGTCGGGGAAGGTTTCGATACGATCCCAAGAGCGAGATTAAGACACAAACGAGGTCACATGCTGCACTGCCAGAACATCTTTTATTACAAAAAGAAGAGCAATGAAGAGGATAGCGATAGGACAGGATGGAACGAAAGATGGGAAATCAAGCAAGGAGTTGGGATAGGGCAGCAAGAATAGTCACCACCACGGGTCCAGCGGCGAGGCGACGGTGAGGGGTGGGCGAGGAGGTCTCAGTTGCTTGTTCCAGTGGTGATGCGGCGTGGTGAGGTGCGGTGCGGTCAGGCAGTCGTCATCTCTGTCTCTCTCCTGTCTCTGTCTCTCTGCTCCCATCTCTGCTCTGACCCTGTTTGCCCGTGCCAGTCCTCCTTAAATATCCCTCCGAGGGCTGTAGTTTCCATAGCAATGGCACATCTCGTGCCCCCCAGCACTTGGGGCAGGGACATATCTGGGCAGAACACCCCTGCGGGCAGGACACCTTCACACAGCGAGGTTTCCAGAACCCAGTGGTCTTGTGACCGTCCTTGCAAACAATCTTTGAGACAAGTCCATAGTGCAGTTCCTCACATCACCCCGTGGCTCAAAGATACCTGGTGGTCTTGTGAGCGTCCTTGCAAACAGTCTTTGAGACAAGTCCATAGTGCAGTTCCTCACAACCATAAAGTCATTCATTACACATATATACTAATATAAACAAGAGAGTGTAAAGCTGCAATATAACAAACTAACAATCAGTATAAATTGCATTCATAGAAACTTAGATGGACACTTCATGTATCAGTGAGATGCATGGAAGTGCAGGACTAGCCTAAGCCACAAGCAGTCCAAGTAATCTACGCCATCCCTTGTGCATGGCCTTTCTGCCTTTCATCCCTGTGTGTGGATAGGCTGCACCAAGGAAATTGCCTAGTTCTTTCTTTTTCCCTAGGAAATATATAAGGCAACTTAGCTATCTTTCTCTGGATATGCAAGTTTACAAATTTTCTGCAATTTATCATGAAACTTGCAAAATGCACAGCTGGTGTGAGGACCACAGGAAATAGTATCTTACAGATATTCTGTCTCAGCTCAACAGGCAAAGAACTCACTGTAAACCTAAACCGCATCTGCTGTGCTGATGATCCATAGACATAGCTTTACAATGCTTCAGAACAACAGGGTTTTTTCAGTTGCTGGTTTTGGTTTTTTGTTGCTTGGAGAATTGCATATTGCTATGACCAAAAAACCTCTAAAGGCTCAATTTTATTTCTTTTTATTTTCAACAGTTTTTTGTGTAACAAAAATTTTCACTAAATTTTTGTGTAACAAAACCTTCTATTTTTAATATCAAAAATAAGAGACTAAGGTGGCCCTGTGGTTTAAATAGGAGGTCTGGAGACCAAGTTCAGTTTGTATTGTTTGTTCAAGCATGCTCCTTGAGCTTATGCTAGGTATGTAACATCCCTAGCACACTTCCCTTAATGCTAAAATGAGAATGACCCAAAATAATGGCAACCTTAGAAGTCTTGATATAAATATTCCCAAACTGATCTGAGATTTTCATATGGCTGATTAACTGGCTTTTGGATAATTTTTTTTTCAGTTTCTCTTTTCATGAGAAGGTGTTCATTGCCACAGGATTCCTATTTTCCATTATAAGAAAATGAGGAGAAAATGGGATGGAATCGACTTTTTCCCATAATTTTAACCACTTTCAAGCATGTAATTTTGCAGCAAGTTCAGTACTCAGCAGGTTTCTTTCATGTCTCTGTTTTTCAGGTTGTGCTGTGGATGGTCATCCAACCCCGAATATCACCTGGCTTTACTCTGGCGAGCCTCTCAGTCTGCGGCATCACCTCCTGGCAGCAGGACGGATTCTTCAGATACTAAACATCAGTGATGCCCCTGATGGTGAATTCAGCTGCCTGGCTCAGAATGAGGCTGGCTCACTCACACAAAAAACGTCCCTGGCTATACAAGGTAACTTTCCAGTTTCACTTCACAGGGCAGTAGTAACTTTCCAGTCCTGCTGCCCTGTGAAGCACTGGCCGTGGACTTCCCTGTACTGCCTTTCTCATTCTGGATTTCTCCTCTCTGAAGCCAGGACTGTCATGCGCAGCAGGAAATAGATGTTTTGGTGTTTTACTGCCTTGGACATAGATTTGCAGGAATACTAAGTACCTTGCAGTGTCTTAGGTTTCACTTTACCAAAATGACACTTGGTATTTCAGGCCTGCTGAGCATAAAACATATCTTACTGATTCAAGCTATACTTATGCTTGTTGAGTCTGGGCAACTTTCTTGTCTAGAAATTCAAGGCAGAGGTGTCACAGTTTGAACTTCTAAAATTAGAAGCCACTCTGTTAATCTGCTAAAGTCAGTGTGTCACAGTCTCTTCTTGCTTGAAAACCCTTCACTCTTAAAAATGCTTCAACTGTTATATTTACCCTAGAAATAAGCTGAAGGCAATAAATCCATAGACCAGAGCAGTGCAGATGGGTTGGAACAGAATATGCAGCTTTCATTGCTCCAATTGATGAAGAGGGAGTAGGGAAGAATTGACCTTTTCAGGATGGATGATCTATATGATCTACCTGGTGAGCAAAACAATGTTGTCAGATCATAGAATCATAGATACTGCTGGTAACTGCAGTTAACCACATCTTCACTAAATCACACCCCTTTAAAAATATAGATGCAATCGACTGCATCACTGGCATCTGAATTCACTTAACTGCTCTACCATGTCATCACTTTCCATGCCTGATGCTTCTAAGCACCAAAAAAATGGGTCTTTTACAACAAAGACAGTCAGTGGCTTACATCAGCTGGAATCCTCTTCCTTCTTTGCTTATTGCCCAGTGCCTTTTCAGCATAGGTAGCTCCCCTTCACATAAGACACTAAGTCCAAATATTTAATCCTGGAGAACTTCTCTCACTCTTTCTTTTCTAAGGGTCTCCTGCTGGCAGTTCTTGAATGTTAACCTGTCTCTCCCACACTTTTTGGCAGAATATCAGTGGTCAGTAGACAAGCTGATGGCTTGTTCAGCTTCCTGTGGCCACAAAGGTATGCAGCTGCCCCAGCTGAGGTGCTTACTGGATGGGGCTGAAGTCAACATATCCCACTGCAAAGAGAAGCCCAAGCCAACCATGCAGCCCATCGCATGCAACAGGAGAGACTGCCCTTCACGGTTTGTCTGTCTCATGCTAAAATGTCACACATGCTTTTAAGATGTGCTTGAAGAGTTCTTTGCACCAGAAATCATGCCATTGAAGCCTTTCTGGTGCCTGCCTGTCTGGAGAAAAGTCATGGCTAAAAGGGAATTAATTAGTGCTTAATCTAGACAGTAGGGAATTTGTAGCAAGATTTGTGGAGAACTCTGACAGTACCTGGCAGAAAGAGAGTTTACTCCTTCAGTAAACAGGTTAGAAAATAATAGATAGGTTGTTGCCTGTTCTTTATTAGCAGATTTCATCGGTTGAGTTGTCTTTGATGATTCCAGCCTCATCCTATACTGGATGTAAATATCATGCCTGTTCTGAGCTCTATGCATGTAGAAGTTTCATCACCCAAGAACTGTAAGGTCATATCTTTTTTTGTGTTCCACATGGTTTCATACCAGTTTTAACCCAACAATATAACAGATAAAAAGGTAGGTTTAGCAGCTGTTTTGGGGGTTTATTCTGAGTTTCTGTGCTGCCTGAACATCAATATCAGTAGAACTGTAGCTGCAGCTGAAACGAATTCCCATGGGAGAGTTGAAATGTCTTGTAAAATGGGCAAATCCCATCAGATCTAGTGGGCATGAAGAGAGGTTAGACTGAGTTCTGCCTCCTTTTGGAAATTGCTAGTTTGTGGTTTCCTTGGGACAGTAAGTCTCTGCCCCTGTTAGCCCCTGTTTTTCCGTTGCTGTTAAACACAGTGGAGCCAGGACAGCATGAAAGACTTCCGATTACACTTAGGTCTTCCTCTGCTGCTTCCTCTCCATGCAAAACACTTTCCTTCTTTGACACCCTTTGGTGCAAAGAAGAATAAATCCTGAGTGCCTTTCCAGAGAGTCAGTGTAGTGTTATACTCCCTCCATGTTAAAAATGTCATACTTCTGCAATTCAATGGCTCTTTGGCTGAGATGTGTAAACATGTGTTTCCATTTTTTTTTTTTTTTTGAGTTTTTGCTCCCTCCTCTCCCTTATTTCCACTGTGGACATGGTGTGTTTCAATATACAAGTGCTTAAAAGTAGGCAGGTTCTCAAGAGAAATTAGTACAACTTCACTCACTCAGCAGTGATTTGGGACTTGTCTTAAAAAAGAGAGTCTAAGATGTGGCAAAGAGAGGTGCTAAGCAACTTGATGAGAAGTAAGCGGTCAGATTTACCATTCTTGCTGTGTTTTGCATATATGGCAAGGTTTTGTTTAATTACTTTTTAAAATATATTCCTACCTCTCCTTTCAAGCATTTTTTTTCTGAGTTGCCATCTGAGTCATAAGAATGAAACCAAAAAAGATTTAATGAATTATGAAACATGCTCATTAGCAGCAGATTTCCTTGGTGATGGCAGTAAATTCCGTGGGAATGGTTTATGTCTTTTTATACCTTCCCTGAACTGTAACACAACCCACAATCCTCCCTCAGCTCCTGAGAAACTGCTGAGATGTAAGCTTGGAAATAAAAGTTGATGGAAATGCAGAGTAAAGCTTTACGAGGAGTGCGGAAGATTCAACCCCACTAAACTGCATTAAAAAAAGGAGCAAAATTTTTGGTTTTTTTATTGGGAGTGTGTTCATTTATATACTTGTTTCTGTGACCATAGAGTTAATCACCCACAGAAGACTGGGGAATAGCAATGGATGCCTCTCCATGGGACTGGAGAATGCATGCATATTGCCTATTTTGTAAAGTTATCATAAACACTGCTGGTGAGAGACATGATCGGCACTATTTTCCTCCCAGTGACACACAGATCCTGCTGAGTACCCTGAAACTTAATGAAGCAAACTGCTGACTTGACCATAAAGCTTTTCATTAAACTAGTAATAAGTCCCATCCTTCCTGTTATGACCTACCCTCTTCCCAAACCCAACTGTACAAGCATTTCACTTAGTGATCTTTAAAGACACAAAATATGTTGTCCATCTTGGAAAGGGTTTGGACCTGGACTATTATTTTCTGTTGTTGCAGGCTTTTTACTAGTTAGACTGGATTTTTTAAACCCTAACGCACAGGGGTTCAGTCTCAGCCTCAGCTGGTGAATGTGTGGCCTGAGCTCAAGAGGAAAGAATGAAGGTGTCCTTTGTCCCTGGGCTGACTGTGCACCAGCCCCATCCCTGAGCAATCTTCAGACTTTTGCAGATTATCCCAGCTGTCAGGGGCATAACAGAGCATGCAGACACCAGCAGAACCCAGCAGGATTTTGGCTATTCTGTCAACAGCAAGTTCAAAGTGGTCTGTGAGCTACACCAGCAACTTTACAGAGATAGTTTTCCCTGCTAAGGGGTGTAAATAGGCTAGTCATTGTTGGTGTTGTGACTGTAGCCTGTGACTGAGGCCTCTGTGCCTGGGCTAGCAGTATTTACTAAGCCTATAAAAACAGCCTGAGGGTTAGAAAATGAATTCTGGGCCCAAAGAGCCTTGAGAAAGACAATTTAATGAAAAATGTGCTCTTTTCTCAGCTTTCATCCTCTGAGCAGTTTTCCTGGAGCACTATGGGAGGCTGAGACACTCAGAACCTTCCAGGATCGCACCCTAAATGAACCAAGCCATTGTTGCCTTTCTTGGTTCCACTACACAAAGACCTGTTGACACCAATGTTCCTGCAGATGGTGGCATATATCTGCTCCCTGACCTGTTCGCCTTTCTCTCACAGATGGATGGTAACATCGTGGTCTCCTTGCACACAGAGCTGCGGTGGAGGCATCCAGATGCGGCGAGTCACATGTCAGCGCCTGACAGCAAAAGGCAGCTCTGTCCCAATGTCAAATGAGGCTTGTGCCCAGGTGTCCAAGCGCCCTGTGGACACACAGAACTGTAACAGGCAACCCTGTGTTGAGTGGGTGGCCTCCTCCTGGGGCCAGGTAAGGAGTAAGCCAGCAGTCCAAGGACAGCCTCATAGTTTGGGCTAGAAAACAGTGACAGAAAATGAGAGGAGTGGTTTTACATTCTTATCTTTAGGTTATGTTCTGCAGGCTTTTGAGGAGGTAACTAATTTGCTCAGTTCTTTCAACTCCATATTTGATACACTGCCTACTTGGCTTTCTATAGCTTCCTGCAATCCCTAGAATTGCAACTTGTGAACAGGACTTTTACTACAGGCCCCTTTGTGATCCCCAGTGGAAAGGTCTCCAGCTCCTCTTTATAGTTAAAGGTGATGCATCTGGGAAATTGCCTTCTCCAAGTCTTGCTTCCCCTTCCTACTGAATGTGTTTCAGTTTTGGCTGGCAGGAGGCAGGAGTGATGAATGTGATTGATAGGTTTAGGGTGAGGGGATGGTTGTACAATAACCCAGTTTTACGAAGTTGCTCATGTTGCCTGAGAACACCAGAAAGTGGGAGCTTTCTTGATTTGCTTCATGGTCAAAAGCAGAATAGAGGGCTAAAAGCATTTTTAGACTATACTTCATGCTGGTTTTCAGATTTTCAAATTCTTTCCTTGCAGCTTCATGCAATGATCAGGTGTTAAAAAGCTTCATTCCATAAATACCAAATGTTTCAAGTATTTAAAAGTTAAATCACTTTATTGTGGGAATCCACAGAAGAGTTTTGTCTTTGTCTCTCTGTGAGCAATGAGATTTCCTGAAAAGGTACTTTTCGATATGTAGTCAATTTTAACCTGGGGCCAGTAATTACTGTGTACTTTCCTCCATTTTCTCTTCACTCCAGTTTGAGTGAGACATATGTGAAGGCTGATGAGTCCACTACAGTCCAGACTTAGGGGTAGAAACTCACAGATTTTAGCCCAAAGATCTCCAGAGTGGTGATTCACATAGGGGTATAGCATTCCGGGGTGAATTAGAGACAGGGTTTAAGCCATAGAAGCCAATTCTGCTAGAGATTAAATGCAGATACCAATACTGCTTTAAAATAACTTCTGGTGAAATAAGCATTTTCAAAAGGAAAAAGAGAAAGCAGTTTGACAAAACCAAAGTAGTAATAAATCTAACTGAAATGATAAGTCAGATAAAAGTATAGAAGTGAGGCTTCTTATTATGCAAGAAGAGACTAAGAAAATAATTACCCAGAGTAATAACTATCAGTCTTGGCATATATTGAGCTATCATTAAATATTTTGCTTCCTTTTCTAATTAGTATGTGGTAAGTCAGTTTGAAAACAATGGCAAATGCTACCTCAATATATTAGAGGTTAGAGTGATATGATAGTTTGTTGTTACTAAACACGTGCATTCTGTATTTGCTTGGGGTAATATGCACAATACATTGCACTGCATCAGGTTTACTTACAATGTTCATAGTAAAAAGTGCCTTCAGCTATTAGAACTTGTTATTTTTCACACTTGAAAACAACTTCATTTAAGTCTTGCCTGTATACTTTGGAAATTTTTCTGATGAAAGGTGATTGAGTTATTGCATTTCATTTATGAGTAAAGCTTGGAATTATCCTCTTATATGAAAGAAGCAAATTTTCACTCCCTGTGGAATTCCAGGTAAGAACTGGAATTATCCTTGCAAAAAGCCAGTTACCTCATCCTTATTTTGTAGATTATTATGGCTATATTGTTCCCCATGGCATCATACTCAGCTGAGACAATCAAAGAGTTCTGAATTAATTTTTTAGAGCTAACCTCTGTGCATTATAATATAATATTTCTTCTGTCTACTTCAAAAAAAAAAAAATCAGGTCCTGCATGATTCTACACAGTTCAGTCTCCAAGCCAGAAGACTGCTATCTAATTACAGTTAGGAACATATCACTGGCTCGGTGATCAATGACCTTCTCACTAGTATCATGAGGTATCAGGCCCCTGTTGCTCTGGTGTCGTGACCAACTTACCCAACTCACAGAGAAAATAGACAGACTACTTACTCTACCCCCACCTCTAGCATGGATTATTTTCCTTTATTTAATATTAGTGGCATTTTGATCTCCACTATGTAATCCCATAGTCTTTCAAAACTAGTGACTCAGTTTTGCTGGTGATGAGGACTCCTAGCCCCTGCAGATATCACAGAAGTGCTGCACTTACTCCAACAAATAACATTTCCATCCACCTTGCTCAGTGAGGGGGTTGACTGTGAGCAAATGGAAACCTAACAGTCACTGCTTCTCTGTCCCAGTTGTCAGAGAGGGAAGAAATAGCAGTGGGGAGTATTATGTGAGGAGTGCGTGGTAGTGTGAAATAGGGCTCCAATTGATGGAGGGGTGGAGGGGGTAAAGTGATCAGTCAGCAGCCCTCCCCTAGCAAAATTTCCTCCCTCACACTAAGGTCCCTTTCTAGATACTTAGAAAAACAAATTCTTTCTTAACAGTTGATATAAATTTAAAAGAACATAAATACATGCCTTATACCTATAGCTGATTAGGATTTAACTGTAGGAGAGGATTAGAAGAGTTTGATACATAAGCTTGAACAGGGTAGGATAACCTCAGTATTGGAGCAAGCTTGCAGATCTGCTGTGTTTGTCATGCTTACTGCTTTTGTTTATTGTCCTGCAATGGTTTTAAATTATTAAATGGAGTGGAATATATTCTTGGTCCAATACATTCTTGGTTATTAACTGTTTGACCATAAATTGTGTTAGTACAAGCTGCAAAATGCACAATAAAAGAAATGCATTGAGATTTCCTGTAGGCTCTTGGCTAATGACCTGAGAGTATTTTATTTGCCCTAACAGATGTATTTAACATTGAACTATTGAAGAGGAGAGGTAATGAATCTACAGAGCAAATATGGAAATGCAGTTTTAATGCTGCTGGAGAAGAATTATGTAGGGCAGAAGATGACTGCACACTCAGCTTTCAAAGCCAGCAGAGCTGCAGGAAGTGCTTAAAAGCTCAGCAGTCACTGCATGGCAGTATGCATTTTATTTCACAAGCAGTCTTATAAAAGGGGAATATGTCCTGCCTTTTACCTCTCTTAAGTGGTGTTTCTATGTTCACAGTGTAATGGGCCTTGCATTGGACCACGGCTGGCTGTACAGCACAGACAAATATTGTGCCAGACCAAAGATGGGACCTCTGTGTCATCGGATCAATGCAGTGTCTTACCAAGGTAAGACAGGAATCTCATGTCTGAAACCACTACCCTTCGCAGTGATGTTGAATGGACTAGGGACTCAACTGACAACTTTTGGGTTTCCCCTATGTAACAAAGAGGTCATGCTGCAAGCCATACAGTCATGTGATACAAATCTCACCAGGCTTACACCCAGGCTTCACTATTGGTTCCTATGAGCCCCAGAAAAAAACTTTAGTTGGCCAACAACTGGAAAGTCTTTTAGGCATGCCAACTCCTGACTGCAAAGCTGTTCTATCTCTTCTTAAGATGCCAGACCCCTTCTCTCTTATTTCAACCCAAGCTCTAACTGGGGAAAAATTTATCTCCTTCTGTGACAAGGTGACCCACTTAGTAGATGAGGGAAGGGCTGTGGATATGGTGTACCTGGACTTTAGTAAAGCCTTTGACACCATTTCCCACAGCATTCCGCTTGAGAAACTGGCTGCCAGTGGCCTGGACAGGCATCCTCTCTGCTGGGTTAAAAACTGGCTGGATGGCCAGGCCCAAAGACTGTTGGTGAATGGAGTTAAATCCAGCTGGAGACCAGTCACAAGTGGTGTTCCCCAGGGCTCAGTGTTAGGGCCACTCCTGTTTAACATCTTTATCAATGGTCTGGATGAAGGGATTGAGTGCACCTTCAGTAAATTTGCAGATGACAGTTAGCTGGGTGGCAGTGTTGATCTCCTTGAGGGGAGGAAGGCTCTACAGAGGGACCTGGACACATTGGATCAATGGGCTGCAACCAACTGCATGATGTTCAACAAGGCTAAATGCTGGGTCCTGCACTTGTGTCACAACAACCCCCTGCAACACTACAGCCTTGGGGAAGAGTGGTTGGAAAGCTGCCTCGTGGAAAAGGACCTGGG